TAAATTCCTCTTGCCCTGGTAGCTCTTCCACGACCCCTACACTTGGTTAGAACCACCCTGCCCCCCTCCCCACCGCCCATGTTCTTAACATCCCACATTTCTCCTACTTCTTGTAGCTGCTTAACTTTTGGGCTCCCCTGCTTGACTCTTGACATTATGAGGGCAAAGGGCCTGATACCTTAATCACTGCTCTCGCACGGTGTCTGGCATGCCAGGATACCTTTGATGAAGTTATTTAACCTCCATAAGCTTCAGCTAGAAACACAGGAATGAGATCACCTTCTAGATGCAATCCCTGCCCCCTTTTACAAACCTGGGTGGGAGGAGATACAAAGAGAGGTTAGAGCATCCAGCGAGTGGCAGAGGTAAAATCAGAACGCAGACAGTCTGACTCCAGATCCTCGTTCTCCACCCCTATGTGATGCTCTCTCTCAAAGATGCTCTTTGCAGGTAATGCCATGGTTCACCTGCTCTTCCTACCCCAGTTTAGAAACCGGGTAGGACTGCTGCCAGAAATTTTGTGTTTCCCTTTTGTGGTCTGTTTAGGATGTTAGCGGCCACGTTTTGGAGCTGTCAGTGTGGGCATAAAACATACTTTGTAAGGTTGTTATAAGGATCACAGACCTTATAAAGTGCATAAAGACCTTATGAAGTGCAGAGGGGGATAAAGTTTTGAGGGTACTGTCTTAAGTAATGAGGATGAGTGTCCCGTAGCTGGCACGGCGGCTCCCGTGTAGTAAATCCTCAACAGTGGTAATTGTCTTCTGCTTTGAACCACATTGCTTTACTGTTCTGGAATCCTTCCTCTTATGAGTCAATAAAAACATCTACAGGGCATGCACCCCTTAGCCCTTAGTGACCTCTGCCTCTTTCTCTCGGCTCCTATTTTCTGGAGCTAGTTGCTTCCCACAACCAAATGTTGGGTTGTCGACGGTATTTGTGTTTGCTTTCTCCCCAGTTAATATTTAAAGGCAGGAGAAATGGGGGCTGGGAGACTAGGTGGTGAGAAATCTGGTCCCGGTAACAAAGGGGTCTGAGGTTCCGTTGCAGGGTGATTCGAAATCTAAAATTACTCTCTTTGCCTTATGAAGGACTTGTAATTTTGTCAAAAGTACAAGGGTATGTCCTGATTATTTCTCCCCAGCTCTATTGACAGGGTTGACCTGTAACGTGTCAGTGTAAGGTGTACAACATAATCTGGTTTATGTACGTACCGTGAAATATTACCATAGTAGGTTAACAGCCGTCACCGCACGAGGTTACACATGTTTTTCCTTGTAATGAGAACTTTGAGATCTAGTCTCTTAGCAACTTTCAAATATATCATATAGTTTTGCTGTACATCTCCAGAACCTATTTTATCTTCTCCCTGGAGGTTTGTACCTCTTTTGACCCTCTTCACGCAGTTCTCCTCTGCTTGACTCCTCATCTCTTTCAACCACAAGCCTGACCTGAGGGGGACGTGTGTGTGTGTGTGTGTGTGATGGTTTTTTTTTTCTTTTTGGATTCCACACATAGGTGAGATCATACAGTATTTATGACTTTTTCACCTAGGACTATGCTAAGCGCTCTGATCTTTAATTTTATGTGGCCCAGCACTTTCTTCAAAATTTAAGAGAAAAAAGTTTTTAAAGATCCTATCCTAGTATGGGTTGGGATGTCTTTCTTTCTTTCTTTCTTTCTTTCTTTCTTTCTTTCTTTCTTTCTTTCTTTCTTTCTTTCTTTTCTTTCTTTCTTTCTTTCTTATTTATTTAATTTTTAAAAAAATATTTTTATTTATTCATTCATGAGAGACACAGGGAGAGAGAGGGAGAGAGGCAGAGACACAGGCAGAGGGAGAAGCAGGCTCCATGCGAGGAGCCAACGTGGGACTTGATCCTGGGTCTCCAGGATCAGGCCCTGGGCTGAAGGCAGGTGCTAAACTGCTGAGCCACCCGGGCTGCCCGGTTGGAATGTTTTTAAATGAAAAAGTCACATCAACTTCTGAGTTGTGAGGGGATTAATTAATGTGATGACTAGCGGATCCTGAAGCAACTGGGAAGTTGGCTTGTGGGAAGCCTGGGGAAGGAAAGGAGTACACGCCCAAGTGACCCTGCCGCTGTGGCCCAGCTGACTACTGTTTTTCAGGGGAAGGGTGACTGCAAAGGTCACAGAAAAGCAGAGAATGCATCTGAAAACCTGCCGGGAAGTCCAGGTGCAGCACCGCGTGTGTAGTGGGTGCTCAAGGATTGATGGTTTATCAAGCACTCGTTCTGCTGAGTGCTGTCGGGGGATGGTTCCAAACGATGAGAAGGACCGTTCCTGGTCCTACTATGTGCTCGTTTGTGACCTGGTGAGAGAGGCCCACCCGTAGTCAAAAAGCAAAAGCATAAGGAGGAGAATGCCACGCCAACAAATTTCCACACACACAACCGTAGGACACATAAGAAAGAACAGTTGCCTGGGTTGGAGGGAGGTGAACGGAGCTGTGGAAGGCCACGTAAGGCAGTTTTTTATAACCAGCTAAGTCTGCACAGAATACAGGCGAGGGGATTAAAAAAATAATTTTTTTTTTTGCCCAAGAGAGAAGCCAACCAGGAAGCACTCTTCTTTCCTATGGCCAACAGACTGGTGGTTATCAGAGGGGATGGGGAGGGGGCAAACCGGTGATGGGGATCAAGGAAGGCACCAGGGACGAGCATCGGGTGAGGTATGGACATGTGGAATCACCAGACTATACACCGGAAACTACTATTACGTTGTAAGTTAACTAACAAAAACTTAAACTTTTTTCATGGTCAGCGAGGTAGGCTTAAGCATCGTATTCATCAAAGGTGCTGTTGGGTGCAGAGCGAGGACCCAGACCAGGCTTCTGGGGTCAGGCCTCTTCCCTCTCCACCCTGATGCAGCAGCAGCTGATCTAAAAAGTTAGTAGCTTGTAAAGTTAGAAACCTGGACAGCTAGTTGGCCACGGTCTGGAGGGTCTAGAGGAGAGGTTTCTCCATTAGGGTTTAGGACTCTTCTCTGGCAGCTGCTCTTGGGCTCAGCTCTGATGTTTAACTTCTGCGTGCACAAGTGGCTGGTGAAGCAGCTGCCGTTGGGGTCTGGGTGGTGGGGATACCGGGGAGACCTGTGCTCTGGTCCCGGGACTGGGGAGCAGCAGCTGTGGGGAGAAGCAGACAGGGACGAGCAGCTGGGGGAGGTGATGCTGCCACTGGGCAGGTTAAAGCGGTTCGTCCCCACCTAGGCCTCCTGCTCGGAACAGCCCTCCAGGTCCTACTGCCTCCTTTCTACACACAAGGACAGGTCTGAGGGCACGGAGGGGTCGCTAGTCCAGAGGGAACTGGGGACGATGGGTAATGAGAGCTGGTGCTATGGGTAGTCTTGGTGGCAGGTGGGGTGGTGCTGTCCTACAGTCCTGGAGACCCTTTCCTTCTGGAGGAAGGGGTGCCCCCTCACCCCCAGGGGATGCTGTCTTTGCACGTGGGGGAGGGATTTCTGGTGGGAAGAACCCGAGGGCGCCATCAGAGGAGGCCTTATAGCAGATCTGGGGCTCTCGGATGGGCTTTTGACCTCTTAAAATCTCCTATAGGAGGGCTTGCTTCTAGGATGCAGAAATCTCAGAGGATGCAGGACAAAACACAGAGCCGACCAGGCCTTGAGAGAGCTATGGTTTTCCCATCTAGAATCTCAGACGTCTGCACAGCCAGACCTTACGTGATGAGCTCCTTGGATGTCACCATCCCTTCCCCGGATGAAGGAAAAGGCAGGCACTCCCTTAAAAAGACACATGCATCAAGGAACGGGCAGAGAAGCATCCCTAACACAATCCTGAGGAGAAGGGGGCATGACACTGAGCCTCTAAGCCTCCCCACCATCACGTGAGGTAGTAAGAGGTATGTGCAGGCAGGAAACCAGAGAAGCTCCCAGAAGCTCTGGGGGGAGGACCATTTCCTTAGGAGACCTAGTAGGAATAGATGCTTTTTTTTTTTCTTTTAAGCCTTTTTCGGTGAGCAACTACTCCTGACTGCTGATGTGTGGTTGTTTTTCCTTTTTTTTTTTTTTTTTTTGGTGTTACCCAAGGATGCCATGGTGTGTGCAAAAGAATACTCCCATGGTTCTCACTCCAAACAGAACACCGCTCTTTTTGACCAACTTATTTTTCTTTACAACGATGAGAGAGAAGCTGCCTCCATGGAGAGGACCAGCAGCCAGGGAGATTCTTATGAACATGGTCAGATTTGCTCAAGGGGTGCGCGGGGTGCAGCCGCGGCCAGCGCTCGGGGACCATGCTGATAGAAGCAAGGGCTTTAGTAGAAATCCAACAATGGAAGCTAAACTTTCAAGGACCAAACTAGTGTCTTACAAATTTGTTAACTTTTTTTTCTTTAATACATGTCTCACCTTTCCCAAAGGTTCTGATATAATTTGAATATTGACTGTCTTTACCTTGTTGGCAAGATTTTGATTTTGTCTAATTTTCTGTAGGTTATATTATGAAAATTACAGGCATTTTTATTTTCATAAAACTACCACATTTAATATGCTTTTAAGAGGTTCCTTCCCTCACTTTAGAAATGCAGATACGATTTATTTTTTTTTTAAGATTTTATTTATTTATTCATGAGAGACAGAGAGAGAGAGAGGCAGAGACACAGGCAGAGGGAGAAGCAGGCTCCATGCAGGGAGCCCGACGCGGGACTCGATCCCGGGTCTCCTGGATCACACCCTGGGCTGAAGGCGGCGCTAAACTGCTGAGCCACCCAGGGATCCCCACTGATACGATTTCTTAAAAATGAGGCCCATCCTCCCTGACCTTTCAGGTACCTAGATGAAAATGCCTGGATGAAACCTTGGAATATATGGGAACAAAGATTAAGATTTGTTATGGTGGGGGTGCAGAAGTCCGACGGGCATACCCTACAGCAGGAGGGACTGCACAGGACACACTTGTAAGGTGGGAGGCAGTGAAGGTGCGTGTCTCTCAGGGGTAGAGATCCCCAACAGACACGATCAGCGTATTAGATGTTTCTTCCCACAGCTCTGTGGAGGGCGTCTTTGACCTCCTTGTTCCTCAGGCTGTAGACAACAGGGTTGAGCAGGGGCGTGATGATGGTATAGGTCACCGAGAGGAGGAGGTCTTGTTCTATGGAGTTCTCCGACTTGGGCTTGAGGTAGGCGATGGAGGCGCAGCCGTAGTGGACGATGACCACGGTGAGGTGGGAGGCGCAGGTGGCAAAGGCCTTCTTCCGGCCCTGGGCAGAGCGGATCCTGAGGATGGTGGAGATGATGAGGACGTAGGAGATGAAGACCAGCCCCACGGGGACCAGGATCACAAATGAACTGACGACAAAATTGATGATCTCATTGATGGTGGTATCAATACAGGAGAGTTTTAGGACCGGGAGGATGTCACAGAAGAAATGTCCAATCACTCTGTGACAGAAGGGTAAGGTAAATATGGAGGTCACCTGGACAACTGCCATGGCCAGGCCGATGCCGGAGGCTCCACACATCAGCTGGACACACACCCTCTTGCTCATGACAACCGTGTACCGCAGGGGGTTGCAGATGGCCACATAGCGGTCGTAGCCCATGGCCGTGAGCAGGAAGCAGTTGTTGATGGCCAAGGCGACGAAGAAGAACATCTGGGTGGCACAGCCCGCCGAGGAGATGGGCTGGTTCTGGGCTAGGAGACCAGACAGCATCCGTGGAATGGTGACCAGTGTGTACGCGGTCTCTGAACCAGCCAGCACGCTCAGGAAGATGTACATGGGTGTGTGCAGGTGGCGGTCCGTGCAGACGATGGTCACGATGATGGCATTGCCAGCCAGGGTGAAGGTGTACAGGACGAGGAAAACCACAAACAGGATGGTCTGATGTTCACGAAATCTGGAGAATCCCAGGAAAACAAACTGGGTCACCTCTGTGAGATTGTGTCCCTGCATTCTTCAGTTTCCGTGTCTGAAAACAAGGCAGGGAGTCAGCATGGAGCAGTTACCACCCCGACCTGGACTCGAGCAGGGCTGGAGGGACGCAGGGACCCACCCGCGCTCTGCGGTCCTGCTGGATGGTCGGGGTGCTGGCGCAGGTCGTGGGCCGGCTTCTCCCCGCCCCCTTCCTCACTCTGGGATCGGCTTCCCTTAAGCCTCTGGCTCAGGGGTCCCCGTAAGGGGAGACCACCGCAGGGACCTTCCCAGAGTAGCATCATGAAGGCTATCTTTGTAGGGCATTGGTGTGAGGCTTTTTCCTCTAAGGATGGCGCCCAAGGCCCTGCCCCCCTGGTGCCCCAGCCTCATCTGGGTCTCTTCTGGGGGAAGGATGAGCAGCTGGGACAAGGAAACTCAGGGAGTCGGGCTTTACTGGGCTGCTCGGTAGAGGGTGGCTATGAGCCAGGAAAGACCTAGAGCCGCGTCAGGTGAATTAACCTCAGGGCTGGGATCTTTAGGAACGTTTAATGGGTGTGAAGCTGAGGCTCTGGGCTCGGCGGGGATGTTTGGCCAAGTGTTGGCAACTGCTTTGTTGTAAAAGTGCTAAGAGGGACGTGAGGGTCTAGGGGCAAGTAAACTAAGGGCGGGGTGGGGGGGTCACTGGGAAAGGAGAGGGACCAGTAATAGAAAAGGAAGAACTGAATAAAAACACTGAGTTCTTCTTCTTCTTCTTCTTCTTCTTCTTCTTCTTCTTCTTCTTCTTCTTCTTCTTCTTCTTTTTGGCAGAAGAAATTGTAAGAATGAAGAAGTTTAACAGCTTAAAATCAAGTATTCCATGTTGTCATGTAAAGTCCCTCAAGAGCCCTGGACCTCCACTGTGAAGTGGCGGGCGTGCAGGCTGTGTTCGTGGTGTCGGGCAGGGACAGCAGGTGCGGTGCAGACGGGGGCCTGTGGGAGGCGAGGCAGGGAAGACCTGGTCACGTGAGCTTTCCTAGGAGTTTGGTGAGGGACCCTGGGGACCAGACGGTGTTTTGGGCCATTTTAAAGAACAAGAGGACAGCAAGCTGCAGAGCTGGGGCCCATCAAGGAAACCTCTACTAGGAATCCAGGAAACACGATCTAGAAAACGTTGCAGATTTTCCAGAAAAAGTGCTCCATCTTGGAAACTGAGGCAAATGTTTAGGGCAGGAAGGGCTGTGCCGCAAAGTAAATTAAAAGACCAACTGGAAAGGTTAAGATTCCAGAGTGAGCGTGCGGCCCTAGGCAGCTTCGCAGAAAGGATGACGTACAGCTGCGATTCGAAGTTCGACGTTTGATTCCGTGTCTCACTGGCTGCGCATCAGGGCTGAAGGGCGGCGCGTGACTCGTGGCAAGGGCGTTGGACGGCAGCCCGGAGCTTTTGGGCCCTGAATGGTGCTGCTGTGTCGCCACAGGTGGAGGTGTGGGCTGCGCCAAGTGAGACATGTCAGCAGCAGTAGTGAGGTTATAATGTGGGGGCGCCCGGGTGGCTCAACTGGTGAGCATCTGCCTTCAGCCCAGGGCATGATCCAGGGTCCCAGGATCGGGTCCCACTTCGGGCTCCCTGCATGGAGCCTGCTTCTCCCTCTGCCTGTGTCTCCGCCTCTCTGTGTGTGTCTCTCATGAATAAATAAATAAAATCTTTTAAAAAAAAATCAAAGTGTGTGAATGCACATAAACTATACATGTAAGGAACAGTCCAAGAGCTACCCGACGTTTGGTGTGTTCACTGTTAATGGGGGAAATGGTGGGAGTGAAGTTATAAGAAACTTGACTTTTTACACGTATTGATGGGATTGTGACCCTTGTTTTAAAATATTTTGGGGCATAAAAGTATGGATAATAAATAGAAGGTGGAGAACTAAGACCAGGTGTCAGATTGAAGGAGGCAGTGGTGGGCGGCCGGTCAGTTTCCGTGGAGTCCACGCAGGGAGACCCAGTTATGGGTCATGACAAAGAACTTCAGTAGGTCATGGATCAGAAACCGTTGTTTCTGCCTTTTGTTTCTTGTTGAGCCTGTTACGACAAGTGACACTAAATGGTGAAGGACGTACAGAGCCGGGGAAGCAACATGCATCCTCCTCGTAGGGAAGAGGAGAAAATACTGAACTGAGTTGTCAGGAGGAGGGGAAAAACCCCGAATAAATAACCCCTGGTGTCTTTAAATTAGGGTCTGCAAAGTAGTGCTGCTTTTACCCCAAAGCAGCGGGAGTTCTGTTGTGAGTGCGCCTGCAGTAAATGCGAATTCACTTGGAGGAGCTCATAGAGGTGGACCCCCCGGAGCAGGACTTGACTGCTTGGGGCACGCACCTGGACGGCCCTGCAGACAGCCCCGCAAGGCCATCCTTAAGACCTTCCAGAAACTTGGAAGCAAACGCCGATGTTCCCCTGTGGACGAAGACCCGGGAGCGCACGGAAGGGTGGAGACGCCCAAGGTCCTGCTCCCTGCATCAGCATCTGCGTGGGGGAAGGTGTGAGGAAGGGGCTGCCCGTGTGCTCCCTGGGCTTCACCCTGCGGGTCGGGCCCTCCCCAGGGGCCAGTGATGCTTCCTCCAGTGAGGTGTCCTCTGCACCCCCTGACTTTGCCTAGGATCCTTCCCAACCACATTCCCCCCTAGAAGCTCTGTTTCTCTGCGTCTTGCTCCGCTTCCGGTGACTTTGGAGCATCGCACACAGATCAAGGGCGACCGCCCCCTTACCTCACTTCTTGGCCTCTCCGAAGGTGTAGAAGCTTCCAAAATGATTACGGGGGAGCCACGTCTGGCTCAGATGACAGATGCGGGCCTGTTGCTGTCTCCAGAGGTGACAGGGGCCCCAGGGGACGGGATGGGAAGTTTGGGATACGGGAGTCAGTGCTACTGTCGATCCTCTTTGGTCTTGGGTTCTCACACTGAAGCCCGCCGGGGGCCCCGGATGCCGAGCTCCTGTGGGAAGGGAGAGGAGGTCACGGGGCACCTTGGTGCCCAGAGGGTGTGCAGTGGGCACCTGGGCGCTGCCCGTGTGGATTGCCTGGGATGAGCGCTCAGCAGTCAGAACGTGGGTCCGTGAACTTGGGGACTATTTTGACCCTGGAGGCCCCCCCCTTTCCCCTACTGGTCGCCTTTCTGGGTCTGTCCGGCCGGAGGTGACTGCAGGTGGGCACCCGAGAAGCAGCCCTGCTCCCACCCAAACCTGAGCCCTTCCGTGGCCGCACCCTAAGGGTGTTTCTGAGTAAGGGACCCACCAGTAGATAATCCTGAAAGCACCGTATAGCGCAGAGAGCTTTCAAGATGATTTATACATTCCAGAAGGACAAGAACCCTGTGGGGGAATAAGAATATGGAAATGTGCTCATGCATCAAAATTGTAGTCATGAAGCCGATATTTCTACTAGGAGAAAAAGACAAATAGAGGGGAAAACATACTGAGGGTGTAAAGGAAACACCATTTGCAAAAGGAAGAAATTCTGAGAAAAGCCATAGGTGTTTATAAATGCCTAAATCTCTATAAGCAAACTGTGTGTCTGGAAACAGAATCTGTGTTTTAAAAAGACCTGAATTACACCAGGTAGGCCGAGCCCCTGTGATGACATTTTGTGTATGAAAGAATTGGGAGTTGTTTTATTTTTTATTATTTTTATTATTTTTATTTTTTTGGGGGGGGGAGTTGTTTTAAAAACAAACAACCAACCCACAAAAAAACAAAAAAAAAATGTTTTGTTTTGTTTTGTGTTTTGTTTTAGTGTGTGTGTGATTGTTTTTTGCTAGACTCTTGCCCTGTCCTTTACTTTGCCTTTCATTTTAAACCAAATAGACCTAGGGAGCCAGCGGGGGAGGAGTTGGGAAACCGAGGATTACATGGAACTATTTGAATTAAACGAAAGAGTGGTGACTTTTCTTTGGGACGGAATCTTCTCTTACCCAGAAATCCACCCGCCTCCAGTCTGTGGGGTCTGCTTGTGTTCGTTCTAGGTTTTCGAGCATACTGGGCAGTCATGATTTATTTGCAGAAAATCACTGCAAAGCCAAGAAAACAGATTGCTGGTTTTTTTTTTTTTTTTGGTAAAAGAAGTAAGAGTCTTGGTGTCTCCAGAGCTCGGTCTTAGGAGGTTCTAGGTCAGCTCTCTAGATTATTAGGTTACTTACGTGCCCCTGGATTCTGGCTGAAGCGCAAGGTGACACACTCACACTGAGCATCTCTGGTCCTGTTGGCTATGCCTTTGGAGGAGTTGCCCCCTTAAGCTGTGACTTGGAAGGGACTCTCAGGGGACTGTCTGCCTCGCTTTTGTCTCCTGGGTTGATTTGCCAAGAGACTGACTGTGCATCCCGCGGGTCCGTGTGGAGTCAGAATCCTGAAACGAGCCAGGGGATCTCATTACCAACGGGTCCTGCAAGGACTGCAGGGTTAACCTTGGTCTCATGTGGGCTGGGCCTTGTTTTCTGGGGGAAAAACAGCTCCACACAGAGGAAGATGTGTTACCTGTCACATGGCACCGTCTTTTATTCTTCTGAATCCATGTCAGTGTGTTGTCCTCGCGAACTGTCGGTGAAAATGCAAGTGAAACGTGGGGCAGCCCTGCACCTACGGGAAAAGCTCGTCTCGTTTTTTCTGGCGGGAGACCTCATGGGTTCGGGGAGGTGAGGATTGGGCTTGAGGGCAGGGCCGGGAAAGGGAGCGTGGGTAGTCCTTTTCCTTTGTGGGAATACACCCGTGAGTTAGGGAGGATGACGTAAAGCCACAGTAGCCCTTCTCGCCCCCCGTCCCACGCTGGGTACCACCTGTGATCATGAGGGAGCACCTGGCCCGGCTCGTGTGCCCAGCAGGGACGTGGGACCGTCTCCCTGGGGGGCGGCAGGGAGGAGTTGCTGCATCAGCTCAAGCTCCAAGTGAGGGCTGCGTGCGTGCCGCTGCCTCCTGACTCCAGACACGGCTGGATCGGCCCCACAGACTCCGGGCCCCAGTGCGGTTTACCCAGAAACTTGGTAATGTTGCTCCTTGATCCAGTGGTTGTGACAGGACAC